AATGAACAAAGTTTCTATTGCAAAATTACACAGAGTGTAAGAAAAAATGTATTATTGTGTTGTGCTTGTTTAAAAAGAAAATGAAAATTGCACATACTTTCAAAACAATTTAGTTCCGGTTGATGGTGTCACTCAAGATATCTCAAAATATCTCAAAGTGCAATGTTTCAAGTGGAACAAACAGGTGAATGTAGTAGCAATGCAAGGGGACCAGCAACACTGATCACTGCTGATACAAAGTGATGCCGGCCAGTAAAGCAGCTGGTCAGGACAGGCCTTAAAATCGGTTATTGACCAAAGAGAGGTCCACCTCTCCCTGTAATTACTTGATTGATGGTCCATTGAAGAGCACCAGATACAGTTAGATTAAAGGGGCTTTTTCCAGGAGGTGAAAGTCAGGAAGGTGTAAACTTGAGGTCTCTCTCTGAGCTCTTGCTTGAGGAGGAGGAGAGTCTTAGCACCAGCAGTTAATTACTTTATTGATCATAAGTTTCCTCATTAATTCAGGAAGAGCTCCAAGTGGCATCTTAAACCCTGAGTCTTGGCTCTTCTCATTAACTACAGAGCTGCAGGGCTGTGAACCTCCACCTGTCTCTCTTTCTCTTTCCATGGCCTCGCTCTGATCGTGATTTTATTTTTTCAGATTAAATGAATACAAATCAACGTAATTACAGACTTCCAATGTGATATGCGGCCTGCAGTCTGATTGTCACCAAAGCAACCTTTTTCAATTCAAAATAACCAATCTATTTTTCATTTCACACTTTCATGCAACTTTTTTGCTTAAAGACAACCGCACACTATTATGAATTATTCGTAAATATTTAATTTGTGATACATATTTCTTAAAATGATCTACAGCCCAGAAAACTTTGGATTTCTATTTATCCATGTACACAGAACCAAAAAGTTCAAATATATGCACATATTTGGGAAAATTCCTTAAAGCAATGGTAAAGCTAAATAGTACATAAATAGTACAAAAATGGAAATGAAGTAATTTGTCATATATTTAATATTTAATCACATTTTCTGTTTAAAAGATGCAATACTAGGAATAATTTCACAAAATAGATGTTTCTCAACTTACAACACTAATTTCTTCAGTGAGACACTCTTCTCTGCAACTCTGTCAGTGCTGCCATTATCAAAAGCCACAAGTATGTCCTTTAGCCATCAACATCCAGATGGGTTAAAGATGTTATGATCTGTAGTGAGAGTATGGAGCAGGTGGAAGAGAGCCTGCAAAGGTGGAAGTATGCACTGGAGAGAAGAGGAATGAAAGTGAGTAGAATGGAGGCAGAATATATCTGTGTGTACATGAGAGACAGGTTGGTGGACATAGCGGACATACTGGACAAAGGATGTTGAACATGGAGCTATCAGACAGAAGGAAAAAAGAAACACCAGAGAAGATTCATGGATGTAGTGAAAGAAGACATGTGGAGGGTTAGTGTGACAGAATAGGATGCTAGAGTCAGGTTGAGATGGATGAAATTTTTATATAGAAGACATATTTGTAGATGGAAACAAAACATATGGAGGCATAATTGTGTTTAAAAAGCATCTTTATTAAAATCCAAGTTGTATAACTTGAGTGAGGCCCTCAGGACTGACTGCACATCTTTAAGCTGTAACAAAAGAATAAAACGTAAGGATGCAATTGTGTTAAAATAATCATTTACATTGCGGCCTAAAAAAGTACTGATTTAACTGTATTGTCAAATACTGTATTGTGTTGAGATTGAACAAATATTTAAAAAATAAATTCTATTAAATTTTGTATGAAATGTGGTGTTCTTGCAATAACAGTTACCTGCAGCTGATGGGTAAATGTATTCAGTCTCAGCCTGGTCACCTGAGAGAGAAAACAAAGTGGAAATGTGACTTGCTGTGTTTTTACAACACGTTTAAATTTGATCCTTCAAATTCTGTTAACTGCTGTTTGTTGTACAGCTCCACTAAGGAGCAAAGTGTGTCAGTGTGCTGTTGCAGTGAGGTGAGTTAGAGTTGTACTTGGCTGGTAGTAGTCATAGATTTTGATCATGGCTGGTTTCAGGTTCTCCACTCGAAGTTCTTCTATGATTGTCAAGCTGTAGTTCATGGGTATGTCCTTTGGTAACTGAACAGAATTAAAGAACAGGAGACACACTCTGTAACAATACAAACATCATCATCTGGTATCCCCACTGTGATTATCTCTCACCTCCTGTAAATACACCAGAACATGATCTTCTGTTTGTTCAACACGATCCACCAATGGGGCACCTTTGAGCTGTGAGGAGACAACAGTCTCCTTATTATTATTTTATCATCACCTTTATCTCATCATAAACTGACACATGGTAGCAACATTTCTATTCAGCTAACAACTGCAATAACCCACCATCTTTAAAGACACTTCATTTGGGACAAATCCAGAGAGCATTTTGATATCCAGGATCACCATGTTGGTAGTATTCTCCTTTCCACTGTACCTGTGTTTGAACAGTTAAAAAGTGATTGCACTGATGTGTATCCATAGATGCCACATTTCCAACAGTTATCCCACAGTGGTAAATAAAATCCCCCTAGCACATATCTAATCTGTTAAATACTTACAGGGATTTTATTGTCAGAGTGAGCTTGCGTCTATATTCACTTGTTGGATCAACTTCTGATTTGACCTCCACGCTGAGAGTAGTGACATCAGTGGGACTCGGGATGTTGTAGTGAACAGAAATCTGGGAAATAGTCAACCAAAAGAGGTTTGCAATTTATAATATTAGTAATAATAAGAAGAATAGAAATCTGTTTATGTTTTTATGTTTTTATGTTTATGTTTCGCATTTATGTTCAAAATATAGTGTCACCACATTTTATGTGACTGATTACAGTTATTAAATGATTTTGGTGGTTGTGGCCAGAATAATATGTATACTAATTGTGGGCAGAAATGTCATGTTGATTTAGAGCTTCTTTCATCAAAATATTTAAAATTGAGATAAAGGCTTGGACCTGAGGAGGGATCTAGAAATAGAAGTGCTGGTTATTTACTTAAAATATGCCAGCTAAGATGGTGCAGGCATGTTAGCAGGATGCCTTTATGACACTACCCTCTGGAGATTTTCCAGGCAAATCCAACTGCGAGGATACACACAGTGTAGCTAGACCTTCCTGGAGATATTATACATGTCATCTGGCCTTAGTGAAATCCATGATGAAGAACAACGACAACAACAACAAGAAAATAAAATACATAGGAGGAAAATGAAAGTTATATATATAGATAATAATTATCTTAGTGGGAAGCCAATGCATCCTGAATTTGGATAATTTGAGCAAATACATGGATGGATAAGCAAATGTCCTTTTCTGAGTGAAACCACACTTTTGAGTTGTGCTCTTAAGTTTTTTTCATTATGCTTCTTTATTTGGAAAAAGGAACAACCAGGACGTTTTCACGATACTGTCACTGACCTGCACTGACACACATGTAGTGCCCTTCACCTCCAGGCTGTATTTTCCTGACACGACCTGCATCGTCTCCTCCTGGTAGAGCAGTTTGTTGCCCGGATTTACATCAAATGTCAGCTGACTGCTGTCAGACTGAACTGTCACTGTGCTTGAACCCTCAGGACTGAATACCAGAGTGGAGTAGAGAGCGAGAGCCTGAAGAGCCGCCACTGTGTCCTACAAACAAAATCACAGCTACTACACATACTTACATATATATTTATATTTTGTATTTTACAGGACAGCAACAGCAAGTAAAACTTCAGTATTCAGCGTCTCTCAGATTAGTTTTTATTTATCCCAGTGTATATGAACTCAAAGGTGAGATTTAAACTGTTTGGGTGGTGTAGCACCTGAGTGGAGGAGAAGCCTCCATAGTAGTTCTGCTGGCCAGTCAGCCACCTAATAATGCCAGAGGTATAACCCAGGTCGTCAGCAGTTGCGGAGGCACTGAGTTTGGCCAACAGCACATAAGAACTGATTTCCACTGACAGGGAGGCTGATGTTTCTGCTGCTGTCTGAGACCAGTACAGGAAACCTCCTACAAACATACAATAAAGGTTACACTTATGGTAATAACACCTGAATGATTTCCTGTTAGATGGTGACTCGCCTTCCCTCACTGCAACTGTGTCTAAGTGCTGCAAAAGGTGAGCGCGTGTCTCCGTGTCTCCTGCCAGGGTGAAGACATAGGCCAGCAGAGCTGTAGTGTAGGTGTTGCTGAGGTCATTGATGGACGCCCTGAGACAAGCCAAGCTATTATTCACCACAGGATCCTTTAAAACATCAAAAGAAGAGCCCTATGAAGACAAACTATTGACCCTGCCCAGGACAGGACATATGCTGCTACTCTCTTTTATTCAATTGCGCAATACTATGTCACTTTTTAGAATCACCTGCACTGATAGCTAAGCTATTTATTTTTCAGGATATAGTTATATTGTTACTTCGTTAGATTTATTTGATATTATATTTTGCATTATCCTACTGTATATTACTGTATACTACTATTCTTACTGTATATATTGTATATCTTATTCCTCTGTTCCTCTGTCTCTCTTGCAGCATTGAGCATGTGTATGACAAAAGACTTTCCCTCAGGATAAATAAAGTTCTTCTTATCTAATCTTATCTTATCTTATCTTATCTTATCTTATATCACCAAAGTTGATCATTTCCTTTATGTAATTATTTGTGTAACTTTATTTTCATGACTGGAAATAGAAATAATGCTTTAACATATTTCTTTTTCCCCTACAGACAGAAAGTATCAACTTAAGTGATTTAGAAATCTATCATAAAAATGTCTTTTAAAAATGAGGGGAAAATGGACGTCAAAAGAAGAAAATGAAATAAACATATACAAGTCAGTGTTGTATTGTTTGTTTTTTTTTACATTGTACACATCACTCAAGTTTACTCACATGTTTGGATATATTCATTTCCAAGAAAGCAGCAGTGATGTATGCACTGAGAGTCACTTCATCAGACACACCACCCTGGTGAGTGAAACCAAGTTATTTCTGTGTGCTGACAGAATTTCTCTCCACACAGAATTAGTATCAGTGTCCAGCTAAAGTATAGACTTACCTTCATTCTGTTGTTGAAGAGTTTGCCTGACTTTTTAAAACAGCCATTTGCTTGTTGTTTATTTTCCAGCCATGTCTTAGACTCTTGAATGATTTTTGGATCAATGTAGACAAAAGACTGAGCTTTGGCAAAACTTCTCATCACAAAAGCAGTCAGCCTGACATAAAAAAGCACCCAAAAGAAAACTTCCTCATGTTTCGAAATTATATCAAAATGTGTCACAGTTCTACCATTATAAGGTGAGTTGATTTTCCACATGTCCAGAAATAAAATGATAATAGGATGGGAGATTTAAGGAGTAAATTTCACCAACAGGCTCAGTTTTGTTTCTGAGGCAAATGGAATATTAAGGTAATTATTATTTTCACCAAGTGTTTCCTGGTCCTCTTCCAAATGTGGTGTATGCGCCTTCAGTACTTTTGTAGTTCAGCTGTCTTTGGTAACCTGTAACAACAGGAAAATGACTCTTAAATAGATTTTCTATTCATAAACCTTTGATTTTAGCCTCACTATGAAACAAACACACTCACCACTGGTCAGGAAGTTTGCAGCTTTTTCCATGATGGCTGGGGTGAGCTGCTGTGTGCCTTTCAGGTACTGGAGGATGTAGATGTTGGGGGCTAGAAGAGCCATGTTCTGCTCTCCACATCCATATGGCATCCGGAGCAGTCCATCCAAGTTCTTCAGAGCCCGGCCGAGGATGTCACCTGATCAGAGGCACTCAGTCACTGAGACAGAACATACAACTTTCCCATGCTTGAACTGCAAATAGATTAAAACTAGTAAACAAGTTAAATATTTAGAAAAATACAGCAGGTTATAAAAAACTGTACATACGAAAATTATAATATTTTGCACTTTGTTATTGGAATGTAGTTTCTAAACTATTTTCTACACTGCAAAACTGTTGGAGTCTCATTTCAAAGCGTGTTTCAAAACCAGGCAAAAACAATGCCAGTCCAGTTGTATTTGTCTTTTATATTAATTCACTCTTGATTGAAAAAATAAACTTGCTATATTTCTTTCTGGATTAATCTAAACTCGTTTGATTAAAATCAACAGGTTTACCCAGGACTGATACAAAAGTGCGGGCAGATCCTTCAATCACATTCTCAGGCAGCTGTATCTCGGTTTCCTCTGTCAGTGTGTCTCCTGTGTACAGACAAACAATCACCATACAGAGAGAAGCTTAATCAGAACGTCAGTACCAAAATAGTTTCAAATCAGCAGGTAGTCACAGCATCATGAACTGTAACAGGTCATATGAGAAATCAGACACCTATAATTAAACCTATAAGCACAAAAAATATTATTAAAACAATAACAACAACAACAACAACAATAAGAGTACTATGAGTGTGACCTAATATTTCCGCACAGATGTGTCCAGACTGACTCTTACCAAGCGTGTCAAGTTTGTAACATAGTGTATATATGAGATATAACTATAAATATCTCATATATAGTTGAGATATACTGTAACAACTAAATGTCCTGTGGGGAATTAGCAAAATTTGGTGTGACACCCACAAACACCCACAAACACCCTTCAACAAAAACTCAAAACTGGAATGACTGCGTGGCACACATCTTTAATGACCTTAAAAAACAAGACTTGGGTACACAAGAGATTGTGTCTAAATGTCGAGCCAGAATTATACCATTAGTTTGTTGATGACTACCAAAGGCATGTGGTCAAGGTGCAACTTGACAAGGGATATTTACCTGTCATGGTTCTGGGTCATTTTGACCCAGTGTTTTTGTTATTGTGTATTGTGGTTTATGTTTTAGGTACATTAGTAGTCTTGAGTTTAGTCTGTTTCAAGTTCCGTATATTCCCTGTTTGGTTTCTTGTCCATTTAGTCTCGCTTTGTGTCGTTGTCATCTGTGTCCCTGTCTGTGTGTCTGTGTTTATGTGAGTTTGTGTGTCTGTGTGTGTGTTTTGTTTGCCCTCCTTGTGTTTCATTCCATCTTGTTTATCCATGTTCCCCTTTCTCTCATCCCCTTTGTCTCTTGTGCTCTTTCGCCCTCTCTTGTTTAGTTTTGCATCCCCTGTGGCGTCATGTTTATTTGTGTCAGCTGTGTTCCCCGTGTATTTGGTTGGTGTATAAACCACACCAACCTTTTGGACAAAGCAGCCAGTTGGATGTCTTTGTCATCTCAGTCCCCTCAGCCTGAGAAAAAACAAGTTACAGTTTCACCTTCATGAGAAAACAAGTTTTCAAATGCAGAATCTTTGTCATCTTGTGTTAATAGCACCAACCTTTACTATGAAGGATTTTGTGACCACATCAATGCGGCCCCTCTCTGGTACTCTCACAACCTCATTATCACATGAAACATGGGATGGCACTGCCTCAGCAGACACAGTTACATTCACAGCCCCTAAAAAAGGACAACAAACATCATTTTTCTCAACCCTGTAAAGTCTTGCACATTAAAATATTGTTAATTAGATAATCTCACTGATTTTGTAGATACTGAAAAGAGCAGGGGCATTGACTGAAAGGACATTTACACCGGCGTGGATAAAAACTTGATCCTTACCTAAAACTGTTGGAATCATGGTCCAGCTCACAGTCTTGCGCTCCTTAGCACACAAACAGGATGTGTACTGCTCACCGGAAAGAGGGGTGAGGGTATAATCTGAAGAAGGCGTAGCAAAGACTGTGACCTGCACAAAGAACAAAACAGCAGGTTGAGTTTCAAAGAGGAATTCAGTGTTTTCTTGTTACTCTGTGAGGACAGAATACTTGCAGCTATTGCCTCATTCACCAAGAGTCGCTTCACATGTTTTGATTTGGTATAATTTTGCACTGAATATCCTTCCTGATACTTGATGGGAAGTGTGTACACCACTATTGTCATGGTACTGGCTCTTCAACCCAGTTTTTTTTTAGTTATGCTCTGGAATTATTTATTTGTTTGAAAGACCTTGGACTGATGTTCAGAGTTTTTATTAGTTAGTTTTGAGTTCCGGATTAGACTTGTGCTTCTGAGTTATTTTTAGTTCTCTCCTCTTGTTCATTCGTGTTTGTTCCCCTTTTTGTCCAGTCTGTCACTATCTTGTCTCTGTGCCTGGTCATCAGTGTCAAAGTGTTTTTTGGTCTCTCTGGGTTCTGTCTCAATGGCTGTCTGTGTTCCTTATCTAATGTAGTTAATATGTCTATTTTTCTGCAGTCCCTCTGTTACTTCCTGTTTTATTTTGATAGTGTCTTGTCTCATGGGTATGATGTTGACTTTTGCTTCCTTTGTGTTATTAGTTTTGATTCAAGTCAGCTGTGTTTCCACGTGTCTCCACTTCCCTTAATCACCCTTCTATTCCCCACTGCATCGTCCTTCATTGTGGATGTATTCTATTAAATTAGTGAATTCCTATCTTGCCCAGTCAAATAAAGCTGAGATTTTGCGTTTTATTCTGTCTGATGAGTCCTGCATCAGGGGCCACTTCATAACCATCTGCAAGGTCTATCAGCATGCTAGCATTTGTTGACATTTGTAATTTTTGATATAGAAACATTGATCACCATGATGCAGCTGGTCAGGTAGTTGAAAACAGTTGCCTTCAGTTCAAAGTGCTCCCCACGGATGATGGAGTGGGGCATGGTGAGCTCGAGGAAGAAGGGCTGGAAGACCTCAACTTCTTGACGAGGAGCCAAACCAAAACCCTGAGAGGACAAGCAGAAAGCCTCTGTCTCCCAGGTCGTGATGGTGTCAGGGACAGTGAGGGACACGTCCTTTGATCCAGACTCTCTGAATCAGCAGATTCAAAATATGCACATTGTCAGGTGGTGATTACACAGATTAGCCAACAAAAACATGCAAATGACAGTGTAGCTAGATCTCCAAACACTAAGACATACCCAACTTCCACCAGGTCCCAAATCCAAGTCTCGGGGAAGAAAGCACGGACAGTTTTCATTGGTCCTTCTGATGGACCTAAAGATCCTCCAGAGGAACCTACTGCTAATTTAGAATCATAAAAAAAAAAATGAAATACTTAATCAGAATGAATAAGAAGGTGTAACACACTGCTTTGATTTTGGGAACTTTTTTATGATTTGGAATTTGCAAAGCAAATCAAAACAAAAATATCACCTGAGGGAATGAAGCGGTATTCTCTTCCCATGAAACTCAGACATGAAGGAATTTCGAGCAGCAGGTTTGTTGCCACCTTTAATCCTACTCTCTAGACACACAAACATCACAGAGTTAAATGCAGCTAAAGCCATGAAAAGCATTATATTTATCATCAGCTGATATGCTCTGGAGTTTTACTGTTAGCTGGATGCAAAATCTGCAGATGGAATGCTGTTGTAACTATACCAAGTTCACCAATGCTGCAGAGAAGGACTATTGTTTGTCATATATTGCATAATGCAGTAGAATATTATTTATTTATGCAACTATTAAGACTCACCTTATGTGGAACATTTGAAACAGTCAAGGTGCAAGGCCAACATCAAGAAGCTGGATCCATGGATCCAGTGAAACACACAACACATGCTCATGGAAAATTTTTATATATTACCTGAAAATCAATGTAGGCTTCATTATCTTCTATAGGTGAACTATATCTTCTTGTTCTCACTTTCAAGCATTTTCTTGGTTCTTGTAGCCGATATGGGAAATAAGATGCTTTCATGACAGGCAGCAAGTTAAATATCTAAGAAAAAAAAAATAATTCAAAGAAGTTCAAACAATTGAGAAAATCAGATTAAAGATCTGTACTTATATGAACCACATATGTAGTATTTACAAATGATCAGATCACTATTCAATGTAAGGTTTATACCACAGCTGTCCTAAATGAACAGGATTGGTAATTACCAAAATCAATTTTTATGGTTCTGTAATTCTCAGGACTGTGTGGAGAGGAGAGAGAGTGGACCCAAATGCAGACTACGGAGACAGAATTGAATTTTTAACAAACGTGAGCATTTTATTCTTGGCTGTACAAGTAACAAACAAAAAGCAAATGGAGATAGAGATGAAACTAACAAGACCTAAACTGGGGGGAAAAAACTAACCACTAAGTACCTGGATGTGAAGAAAAATAACATGGAACGTGAAGCCCTAAGCCATTAAAACCAAGACCAGAAACATGAGTGGCGAACAGAGAAACCGACAAGTGACAAAGGGAAACTCAAATTATAACACACAGCAGGATGATCAGGGAAGTCGAAGCAGCTGGGGAACATATCAGACACACATCAGGAACTAAATCAGACATAACAGGACAGGGGAAGCAAGAGACTGTCAAAATAAAACAGGAAGCACAACAAACATGGAGATGAACACTAAGACACGCAAGATTAAAGCTGTGACCAGAGGAGAAAGAGACAGAGAGAGAGAACACAGATCACGAAGAAAAGAGTAACTAAGTGAGAGACGTGGAACACAGGGAAAACACAGAATAAGAAAATTAAAGACAAGAAACTACAAATATAACATAAGTGTCCTTCTACTAGTGTCCTTCTATCGAGCCACAATCGAGAGTGTGCTGGTCCACGCCATCTTTGTGTGGTACGCTGGTTGCACAATAGCCGATAAGAAGAGACTCCAGAGGGTCACCAGAACTGCAGAGAAGGTGATCGGCTGACCACTCACCCCCCTGGACTCCATTGCCAGCTCTAGATGTCTCTCCAGAGCCAGGGCTATCTTAAAAGACCACCTCCATACTAACCACCACCTCTTCAACATCCTGGTTCAGATCCATCAGATGCAAAACCAGCAGACTAAAGAACAGCTTCTACCCGTGGGCTGTCAGAACCATTAATGCAAATTAAGAGTGTGAACAGACTTCATTCTGTCGCTGCTTTTGACTTTGTTGTTGCCATTCCCTATGCAATATTTTGGTGTTTCCTTTTTCTGTGCAATATTTTGGCCCCTGTGCAATATTCCAGCAAATGTGCAGTTACCACCCCATCCTTAATGACCACAGCCCTTCCACTGTTATTTATTTATTATATTATATTATTGCCCTTGTACATACCCCCACAAGGTTTCTGTAACTCATACATCGTGCATATAGTGTACTAATATTGCTGAACTTATATTGTTTTTCTTCTTTGAATATTGTTTTCTGTACTTTTGCACCTTTGTGGTCTTGCTACCTAATTTTGCCGTGCAAGCAGAAGTTCTTCTAAGTTCTAAGCAGAAAACAACTAAGAGAATCAGAACCATGAATGACACTAAATATAAGAATATTAATTAAACCCAAAAACACATAAACACTGGGTCACAGATCCAGGACCATGACAGTAACGGTTAATATACCAGTATGAACAAGCTCTTTAATCAAAAATATTTTTAATGCTAAATTATAAATATTATTGTTATCTCTGAAAAACATTTAAAATTACAGTTATATACTTGAATTTCTGAACAGAAAAAAACATTTTAAGTTGAGTTTGCCAGCTGAAATCTGGGTTTAAAAATGGGAATTCAGTTTGTTATTTGACAGCGTTCCAAAATATTTATCTTTTTCCCCTTTTTATGACAGGTAGCCAAATAAATGTTTTAATCACTGTTTCAGGATACTTTATAACAGAATAAGTGTTGAACTGTATTAATAGTTATTTTGTACAGTTTTATGCAGTATTATACAAAAAAGAAAACAAATAGAGAAAAATATGTAGAGAACAAAACCTCTAAATGACCAAAAAAGCCTATCTAGAAGCAAGATTTACAACTAGGCTGTGCAAGTTGCAAACACCTCCACGTGGTTATTTATCAAAAGTAAGATTTTAAAGATTTTTTTGTTCACCTGAAAGTTTAACTTATACCAACCATGCTTAAAGTTATACACAGGTCTTGGTTCAACACACCAGTAAACTGAATAGATGCTATGGTTACACAGCAAGGAAGAGAGATACTGCCATGAGACAGGTTAAACAGTTGTGAACCTCATAGTTGATCTCATTCAGTTTTGATTGGCTCTTCAGATGCAGGAGAATCTCTGTCTTTGCAAGTATAGATCTTCCCCACAAATTAAGATCCATGTTGCCTTCATATAATGTCTGCTACTTATGACACTAGAAGAGACTGAGGCTACTCCACACTAATGTGTTTTCGTTTGAAAACGCATTGTTTTCTCTCTGTTTTGGCCCCCCGTCCACACTGAAACGCTGCGCTTTCCTCAAGGAAAAACGCAGCGTTTTGAAAACGCTCTCGAAAACGCATACATTTAAAAACGCAGCTGTCCCGTCGCAGTGTGGACACACAAAAACGCAGACTTTCTAAAACGATGAAGTATTTTAGTCATGTGATGCAGTCATGTGACTAAATAAACAAAGATAGCGGAGTGCATTATACAGCGGTTGTTTTGATTTCTCTCAATTTTGACAGCCCTAAAAAAGATGAATATCACTTTGTACATGTTCCAGATAGCTTTTCTTCAAATTCTTTAACTCTCACTCGCTTTTGCGCATGCGCAGGACTGGAACGTAAGCCTGAGAGTGAAGGATGTATAAGGTGGTTGAGACCACACTTACCTTATCTGCATCCAGAATATTATCAGGCTCTTTGATGAGGACACTCTTGTCAATGGCACTTAAACCACACAAAGAGTGTGGAAGCGCCGTCACCTCCATGTTTGTTTTTTCTCCTGGGACAGTTGAAGAAGGTGTGAAATCCAATGACACCTAACACAGATAAAGCGTGCATTACACCATCTAAACTTTAATGGTTCTAAAAGAACAAAAGTTCAAGCCTATAAACCAAGGAAACCATTCACTAGCTTTTATGTAGTTTTTGGAGTTCAGGTTTGATAATCACTGTGTCATAGTCTGGGGGAGCTCAAGTGTTTTTTCCTCTGTTTTTCTTGTGTTGCCCAGTATCTACCCTGGGGTGGCGTCCTCGTCATCTCACCTGATCTGCTCCCCTCATCCTCACTGCAATCAGTGAGATAGCATTTAAGACCAGGGTCCCCCATCTCTTCTCCACCTGTTTTTGAGCTAACCTCACGTTGGTAACAGGCCTTATCATTCTCCTTGTTAAAGGAGCATTTTCTGTTGCACATCCACCACACAGGATTAATCTTTCTACCGCTTCCACCTGTCCTCCTGCCACCTTCTCTCTTGGCTCTCTAGAAAAGAAAGGTCAGAACCCTTTCACTAGCTCACCATTCTAGACGCACACCCAGCGATTCAAACCTGCCAAGTAAGACTCCATTTCAGTATTACTCACCTCTCCAGACAAGCTTCCCTTGCCTCTTCTCTAACCATGCTCTCCCTCTGTTCAGTTTTGCTACATTCGTTTCCCTGCCAAGTATCCCTCCTTCGTGACACTATTTACTCATGTGTTTAAGCAAATAAAACCTGTGAAAACCTTATCACTGTTTCCCATGCTTGAATCGGCGCTTGGGTCCTCATCCATGTACTAACCTCCATGCCCTTGTGACAGTACAATTGGCCTAATGAAAAATGGACCCAGAAGATCCAAAACAGGCTGCGATCTCGAAGTAGGGTTCAATACTAGGTAATTATCAACAGTCAGTCCAATTCCTAGAAATACAATGCAAATCTATTGGTGACACTCAAGTGAAAAGCATCGCCTCACTATTAGAACTCCAGCCCAGTTTCACTCCCAGCCAAACCACTTCTACGCACACTTCCACTCCTTTCCCCGCTTCCATAGGACCTGCCCCATCTTTACCGGCCATTAGCACTTCTCAGCCTGAACCATTCACCAGGGTACAGGGTTGCTGTAAGGGTTTCCTGTTGCAATGCTCTTGTGTTTTCTCAATCACCACACTCCATCCCTGACAACACCTCTGAGCTCTCGTAAGTGGTAGGCAAGCTGAGGGGTAAAGCATTGGTATGGGTTGAGGCGTGTTTGTCATCACATTCCTTTTCATCCTGCTCTTATGATGAGTTTCAAGGGAAGATTAAAAGACCTTTGCCCACCCCATCTCTGAGGGCAGCGTAGCTTGGAGCTTGAAGTCAAGTTAGATGTAACATAGCTAAGTTTGTCATCGATTTCTGCATGGCAGCTGCCAAGGTGGGTTGGCCTGATTATGTGATCCTGGGAATATTTATGAGTTAGCTTCTCATGATGAGCCTGCATCGTTCAAGGATTTGGTTTATTTCCTCCTCCCTCTCTCTCAGGATTGCCTGAGAGAGCGAGAAAAGGCTACGTACCTGGTTATGTAATTGCACTTGCCTCTGTTCTACCCGATCCTCCCATTCTAGCCACAGTTTTAAACAATCAGATTTTTTCCCATATTACTCATCAAACCAGACCAGTCTCCCTAATTACTTCTGGCGACTGTCCTTGGCTACCCTTGTCTAAAGAAACATAATCCCCATATTGAATGGTTACACAAATTACTAGCTGGAGCCTTTTTTGCCTTGCTAACTGCCTCAATAATCACCTGCCGAACCTTCACCACCAGATCTGTCCTCAGTCCCCAAGGAGTATCATGACCTCCAGGAAGTATTCCGTAAACATAAGGCACTTCCACTCCACAGGCCCTATGATTGCACCATCAACCACCCAACCTGACAACTTATCCAAGCCAGAGAGAGAAGCCATGGATAAGTATATTTGAGAGTCCCATCATCTGCCCATCCTCTTCCCTGGTAGGTGCAGGCTTTTTCTTCATCACT